AAAAATTGAAATGGTGGTTAGGAGGTCATCTACTTCAACTTACCTGAGGTCCGACTTGTCGTTCTGGAGTTAGATTAGTAAAGTACGCGGCGCGATGCGCCGCGCACACCTTTAATTTACATGCGGAACAACTTGCTCCCAGCGGCCGCGGGAAACAACTTCGACTACATTTTTTTTTCACTTTAAACTTACATCCAAAAATTTCCTTCTCTGCCTATCCTATTTTCGTAGCCCCCAAAACCCTATAACCACCGTTTGCATAGGACAAAATGATGGGACTTGGGGTATATGAGGGGGACTACATAAGTTACTTTTGCCGAGATTTCTGATGGTTGAAATAACTTACGATAAGATAAACTACCAACTTTAATAACGTGCAACGAAACAGTGTGGGAAAATAGATCGAAATAACTAACAAGAGGCATAATTTCCCAAAAAATTTATAGCATCGTTTCTCAAGTACGAATTTAAAGCAGGCGCAAACAGCAGAATTCTATTTGTATTGATAAATTTCGGGACAGCTTGTCAACTGCTTCCTGTCTTTGCGTGAAGTATATAACAAATAGAGAACACAGCAGTTTGAATTTTTACAGAGAATCATTAACAGCAAGGCCATCTCTCAACACGGCGAATAGTCAATAATAATGTCGCCTTTAAACTTGGAAAGGAAAAGAAGGGACGACCTTTAACAAAAATCAAGGGTCGATTAAATGTAGGTATGCGATTACCAGGGCAGTGAGATTATCCACATGGGCGACAGAGGCAATGGGAGACAAGGGCCCCTGAACATTTACTTAATTGGCCTTTAAGACAAGAAAACAAAGTGCTACGGTTTTGCCACATCTGCTAGACAGTAGTCACTCTGCTGACCTCAAAAAATCTTTCTGAGTTCTTGTTCGAGCACGAACAAATCGGACCTTGCGCTACACGGAAGCAGCCTATATATGGCGGGAGAACCCCGACCTATGTAAGTAGCTGGATCATGTGGCTAATCTCCAACTGCCCTGGTAATCACAGGCCTACATTTCATCAACTTTTGATTTTTTGTTAATTCTCTCGCCCCACTTTTCTTTCCTGTATCCCAACTCTAATGGCCCCATTATTACTAACAATTCGCTGCGTTGAAATACGATCTTGCCGTTATATATTGATTCTGTGTAAATTCAAACTGCTGTGGGTTCTCAATTTGTTATCTTATTCATGCCAAGACAAGAGACAGTGGAAAAGCTGTCCCGAAGTTTATTTGTACAAATGAATCTTGGTGTGTGCGCCTACTTTAATTTCCTACAAGTGGCAATAAATAATCAATTTATATTTTTGGGTATTACCGAAAAAACAGAGGGACGCCAGGATAGTTATTCCTGGCTTATTAGCCGTCGTCAGCTAGCGATACCCAACTCCAGTGTTACCGCTGGAATTGCTGTTACACTTGAATTTCGAAACCGCGACCTCTCTGTTCAGAGTCCAACGCCCTAACCATTGAGCTACGGGCTCGCTGTCTTGTCGGTTCTTGATCGGAAGTATACAGTAGTAAGTAATCGTATACCGATCCGTTTCCGGACGTACC